ATTTTATTCTGTTGTGTTTACAGAAGGAGCGGCTTAGTGCAATGTTGGATGAGGACCCACAACTGATGGAGAAGAGAAACCAGATTGCCAAAAGGCTCGAACTCTACAAGTCTGCTAGAGATGAAATTGATTCCGTAGCATGGAAATGATGGAGGGGATCCTCATCATCTTTTCTCACGATCCTCTTCATCTTTTCTCAGTCACAATATGTTGACAGAAGCGTTCCCTCGCGGACGATTACAGCTTCTTGTTTCAAATTCCTTTTTCGATTCTTTCCATTTCTTTTTTGGATGACCTGGTCATCAAGACAATCATTGTTTTCTTCCCCGGGAAATTGCAGCTTCTACTATTATAAAATTCAGCATTTTCCTTCAAATTCTTACTTTGGTTTACCATTTACCAACTAGTGCAATTTAGCCATTTACCATTTTCAATCCTCCTTTGAGGGCTCTCGAATTCAAATGGTTTCTGCTCGGGGCTAGGAAAGGGTTACTTCGGTATATTTCATTCCACAGTGTGATGCAAGTTCATTACTTTTTTTAGTACTATCCTCCAATTCGGCATGGCATGCATGAACTGACTTTATTTCAGTAGCATTTTATTTTTATTTTACATCATTTTATAACAATGTGTTAATGCATAAATGTGGAAAACCCTAACAAGGAAAAATCGCAGGTAGGAAGAATAATTTTACTATTCCAGAAACTGGGTACAATAGAATTAACCCCTTACAGCTCCTTTAAGGTTGACATTCATATCACTAGGTCTCTTATTGTAACAGGAGTATACAACCTAACTGCTTTTCAAAGGACACTGAAAGAATTCAAGATAACTAAACAAAATATAAGCTTAACTAGGAATATCTAAACAGGAATATCTAAGAAAATTTGTATGTCTGAACACTTATTACAAGTTTTCTTGGACGTCCCATCCCCTAATTTACGAAATCAAACTAGGCTGTAAGATGAGTCTTGCAACTGGTCAAAGGTGTCTCTAGAGTTGATGCCAGGTTGATATGCATCCCTTTTGAAACCAATATTGCTTATTGTTTCAAAAATAAGCCATCTGCCTTTAATATGGTTCTATAAATCTATAAACATGGTACTTTTCTTATGTTCTGGTTTGGTCATGAGTTTCCAGGTTTTATTCTTCTCAGTCATTGAAATCTCCTCCGGGTAGCTTGTCTCCAAACTTCATATTTTGAAGCTTCTTCAACTGTTGAATGTTGCGGTTTTTTTTTTTTTTTTGAACAAAAGTGGAATGCAAAATGTTGAAGGTTTCGACACTACACGGTAGCATTTCTCATAAATGTCTGCTAAAAACTTAGTTTTAACTAATGGTGAATCATGATATATGTCAACACAAACCACATATGTCTTGTCTTTGTCTTGACATATTTTATCTTGGAAGTCTACAGATTATTACTAGACTAAGATGCAGAACTATTCATACACAACTTGTTTTTCCCATTAACAGGCTTCTTTATCAATCACAGCTCTGTTGATTATGACCCTATTTGACTATAAATTACAAATCCTATCCCTTGGATTAAGCTACTTACCCAACTAAAATACCACACTCAACGTTATCATCAAGCTTGCATCTCTTTCCTATAAGGATACGTGAGTAACGCAGACAACCAAATATCCTAAGCTCTTATTGAAGTTCTTCTCTGCCATCATACATCTGGAAATTTCCATGATATTTTTGTTCTCTCTCAACTGCATCATTTTGTTTTGTGTATAGCTAATTGTGAGCTAATATGAGATAGAACTATTGTTTTGCAATCCAAACTGTGCTGGATTGCAAAACAAGAGCTATTGGAGGAGGGAGGGTCTCTTGATATCCAATGATTAGTGTTGTATGGTTCATTGCAATCCAAATTGAAAAACAATTTTTCTATGAGATACTTCTACTTCACATAATCTTTCAAATTTTGAGTTAAACTCCTTTTCATTGTCTGATATGAGTTTTTTTGATTTGTCAACCACTTTGCTTTTCTTCAAACCTTTTGAACTTTTTAAAAACATTAACCACTTAAGACCATTTTTTTTTTCTTTTTAATTGGTAAGACTCACTACTTATCAAATAGACTTAGATCATTTGGTGTAATTATCAATAAAAACAAAATAATATGCGTTTCCTTTTTTTCTTTTTTTTTTTATCTTGCGTTATTATTTATACGACAAATAGCAATTTTTGTGATAACACCACGTCCCTAATAGAGATCTATGGACACAATGTATTCCTTACAACTAGAAGATGAAAATATTATAAGTTGCTCTTATCAAGTGTGGATAAGCTTAAAAAATAGATATTCTAGTATAGTAGTAAGTTTTTGTCACATGGTAGGAGTAAAGATTAAATCGACTAATGGAATATAGTAGTATGGTAGTAAAGAAGATTTTAATGGCCCAAGACCTTAATGGAGTTAGAGTCCAAGTGAGTTTTGGATATCAAATGGATAAAAGAGCTGAATTTGAGTTGGAGCTGAATATGAGTTGGACTCTTAAAAATGTTTAAGTTTAGACTTGAGTGAGTGTTTTGATTAGATTAAATTTGACTTTTTCTCTATGAAGCTTCTTCCATGTGAACAAAGGAGATTGACTGTTCCACAAAATTAGAGGTGTTGACTCAAAAACTCAAAGATGAAAATAAATAAGAGAAGGGAAAAAAGGCTTACACAAAGAATTTTATAAAGGTTTAGTCCAATCACTTGACACTTAATCCTTTACCATGGTTTCATTTACTAAGAATTTCTTTTACACTTTCCATTAATGCTCAAGAGTAGCTTAAAGGAGCTATCCAATCCCTTTACAAGAAAGGGATTGCTCACAACCTCACCCTTTACAATGTAACTCAACAATTCTCTCTACAAAATCACTCTTGAAATAATAGAACACACCCCCAAGATATCACTCACAAAATCATAGTAGAGGATTACAAGAAGAAATCACTTAATGATCAAAGATACAATTGAGAGCACAAGAAATTGATTGTTTGCAAGGAAAAGCTCAAGTAGGTAGTTGGAATTCAATTCGATGAAGTGTCTTAGAGCTTCACAAATATGTCCACCAACCTTAGTTATCTTTCTCAAGTCAAAACTAGCTATTTGGAGATGTTAGAATGCATTAAATGCTCTGTAGACTCGTTAAATTCAAAAAACTAGTCATTATTCTACAATCAAGATTTGAATATAGGGCCCAAGATTCGAATCCTTAAAGCCTTGATTTAACTCTTCCACTTGAGAGTTTATTCTTCAAGAAATTTTGAGACTTAAACTAATTTCCTAGTGCAGTCCAAGAGAAATATTGGAATGGAGAGTCAAATATCTACCTCAAACAGTCAAACCTTCAAATGAAGATTTAGTTTTGCCCTACACCTCAAGAACTCTATACTTTTTGGAATCCAAAGTCAAATCTTCCACCCCTTATAGTCAAACATTGTTGGTCCAAGAGTCAAATATGCCTTCTAAGATTAACTCTTCTCTATTTGGACCTTCATTTTCAGCTCCAAAGGCAAATATTTGCTACAAGAATTGAATCTTCTTGCTACAAGAGTTGAATATAAGGTTCTATATTTGACTCTTCATGTTATTTCTACAGTTTTCTAGATTTCTCTTTGATGCTTTTTAGATATTTTCAACTGCACACTTAAACTCAAATCCATTAAATATCTTAAGGAGTTCAACAAGGGGAGTTGTTGATATGGTGCTAGGCAATTCAATTCAGTTGTGGAAAATCAGAAATGGTTCAAAAGAAGCATAATTCTAAGGATTTTGCCAACCACAATAACATTTGCCTAAGTCTATTTTGTAAGAAAGGATTCAAAATTATTGAGATTTCTTCTGATTTAGACAAGGACAACAATAGGAAATCAAGATCAAATCAGAATTTTGAAAAACAAATTCAGTTATGGAGTCTTATAAATTTAAGACTTCAACACAAAGTTTAGTAGGTCTACCCCTCTCACACAAATCTACACTTTAGTATATCTTAGCCTACCGCTAGCTTAATCCAGCTGTGCATTTAAACATACACTAGTGTCTAGTTCATGGATAACTCATATAGCAACTTTGCAATTTCTTGTTAGCATAAAAGATATTCAACTTCTTTAGCGGATTCTTTATTTTTGTTGTTTATCGTTAGGCAACTCAATACATTTTGCATGGCATATGACGGCTTCTCCTATTTGTCCACAGTGCGAACTTTTGATTGAAACACTGTTGCACTTGTTACATGACTGCTATTTTGCTATGGTGGTTTGAGGTTTGTTGGATCTAGACACTACTGAATTTTTTGCTCTAGATTTTATGACAGGGCAGAACTTTCTCCATGCCTCCATGATCATAAGCTCAAACTAGTTTACCGAGGGATGCCTTGTTTCTCTCAACTATCTGGC